TAAGCTATCTTTGGAGGAGGTGAAGCAGATCCAGCTTCTCATTACGAGTGAGATCTGTAGATGTGAGCCAGCAGGAACTGGCAAAAAATTTGCAGGCAGCTACCCCCGATCTGGGGCGCTGTTCCTAGCCTGCGAGAATGAGAAATCCAGAGAATGGCTCAAGAGGAAGGTTTCTATGATGATCGAAGCCTTACGAGGGGGCCGCCCTTAGCGTTGATGACGCTAATAAGGTGGTCAAGACTCACAATAAGATTTAAGTGTGGGTGCGAACCGAGTTTCTGGACGTGAAAGAGCCGGCTAGAATCATCAATTTTGACAACAAAGAATTACCCTTATTCTTGGAAGTTGGCCAAGAGTGACTTCAGAGCGTATCTAGGTCTGTCACAACTTAACTTCAGGATGGTGAACAAGAAGAGTGCTGAAGATGCTGCAGGTATAGGTACTTCAAGTAAACCTGCAGCATAAAAAGGCTGCGACAGCTGCCTTATTGGTAAGGTACCTACTGTCCCGATGAGAAACTGACATAGCCCTGGATTAATGGGGGCCTAGTCTCAGGACTGGGAGAAGCCAAATAAAGGTAAGGTAATATATACGATCCAACGGCAGGGAATGTATAAGATCCTGCCTTTTCGTTAGGAATGAGCTACATATGCACTGAAACTGCTAGATTTCTGTTCCCAGGCATATCAATGGGGCGAAAATGAGCAATGAGCTGAAAATAATGATTAGAAACGGTATACTGATGTAGAGGTATATAGCATCCTGTGAGCTGCAGGAGGTAATAATAACCTCATATATCGCAACTGTCCTTTAGTTAGGCGTAACAACAGCAAAGAAGTAAAGAGCTTATTAGGCTAAGAAAAGAATCACGCAAACTTTTCAATGAGGCGAAGAAAACTGGGGAGTGGGGGTAGTATATTCTATCCCTCTGACCAATTCCCTTTCCAATAATCATAAGTATAGAAAAGCACTGTTCTTGTTCATAGAATAAAACATTTGTTATGTATTTTAACATGATAACCCTCCCATGCTTCATGAGGGAGAAATGCAAAACAGGCAGCCTATAGCTGTTGCCTAGGCGTTTTTTGCTCATGTTCACAGGAGAAAAAAAAATCTACGAAAAAAAAATTGTTATACTGTATCATCAAATCTTTGAATAAATCTTGAAATCTTGAATCTTGAATTATATAATAAACTGATTCGTAGGGATATAAGGGAATCGTCGTGAAGCAGTTTCTGTGGAGAGGTGGACCTTATTGAAAGTTTATATATGGACTTGCAGAAACTTTCAAGGTCAATAACTTACGTAACGAAGTGCGATAGGCATTTTTTTATATGAATATATATATAACTCCTAACATTATTTCGACCCACTCTATCAGCATTGCAACTATATACCTATACCATGTATTTATTGAATAAATAGAGTTTTTATTACCTTTGAAATTGTTTTAATGTATATGTTTCTGGAAATGCGACTTTCTCTAGAACGATAATACAAGATATCGATTCAAATAATAATATTGTAGAATTTTCATTGTGTAAAAAGATGAAGGAATAAAACGGTGGAAGCATTATTTCAAATGTGTCACCTCTGTCAAAAATGCCTCCATTAATACGAAAAAAAAAATGTCCTATATATAATCACTGAACAGCAGTTTACATTTCGAAAGGAGCGTTATTTTTAGTACGAGTAAATTTTGCCCGAATATTATTGATACACTTTTGTATCAGTTTTATTTTGAAAAAACTGGATATTTTTCAAAACTTCATCACCCTGTATCTCAAAAGTTAAGACTTTTAGATTTTTAGAACATACGTTCATATGCAGTTTTCTTCTTAAAATGAGACAAAGAATCACCACCTCAAATATTAGCACGTTTTTAAGGAACACCCTGTATACACTTGGTACATAAATATGTCGTCTCCCGCCTGACGCCTGACGGTATGCTAGACACTGCTTCGATTTGTGTATCCAGATCAAAATCAAAGTGGGCGCAGTGCAAGGCTATTCAACTCTATAAGGTTGCCTCATATTGACCTGCCCTGACGTCACTGTTTCCCCATCGTCTTTTGTCGAACGGCAAAATGAAAATGGCGGAGGTGAAAAACAAAACAAACAAATTTAGCATTGTGCAATCAAGTGAATATTGATAAATTTTGAAGTTTTCCAATATGTTTTTGTGTCCAAGAGATTGTTCACTGTTTTCCCAAAACATGCAGCAAGTACAAAAGACTGAAGACAGAAATCTAGAAAGATAAATGTTCCTCAGTGCTCCTGTTGTACAGACACATTACAGAAACTCAGTCAAATTCTTATTGCAATACCACTCCATTAGGACTGATTACTGTTGGCATTAATAAGGATATGGAGGTTGAACTACTGATAAAGCATTTTTTAATAAAGAAAATGTTATTAGGAAGTCTGAACCTAATGATGAAATCATGGTGGATAAGGGCATGCTGACAAGGGATGTGAAGAAATATCTTGAAATTGATTAGGCCATCATTTCTGAGAAACAAGAAACAATTAACTAAAGAGGATTTCCTTCTGGATAAATTGAATGATTGTAACTCACTGGTTTTATTTCAGTATCAATTTGGAACATATTATTGTTGGAAAATGCAATAATAAGAAAATGAATTAATAAAGAAGTCATCACAATTCATTCCATTTTATTAATGCAATAAAAGTGCAACATAAGGGAAATATCTTTGAGATATCTTCCTCATAACATTAACACAAAATGTATCACAAAAAACTGGAATCTTTATGTAAGTTTTGGAGGAAGAAGAATCATACAAGAAAATTAGTTTCTTTCAAGTTCATTAGGGACATTTTAGGGCCATTATTCCCAACTGAATTTATCCATAATAAGTGTGTCTCTCTTCCTTCCAACTTCACATTTTTTATACCATCTCCTATCAAGAAATGGCATTGTTCCACAAAATGTTCTGAACCTTTACCTAAAATTTTGAGAAAATAATTCAACCTGAATGTAATAAGTAATACACATTATTTAACAAACCTCTATGTAAGGACCTCAGTAAGGACACTTATTTCAATTATTTCCATGGTCTTCCTTCCTGAAAAATAATTTCATATTGAGAAAATCCTAACCATGGAAAATATTGGGACACAAATTAGTTTGCATGATTTGAAATTCAATATCATTTTCAATGAACATTTTGTAAGAGCTTTGGATTCATATTCAACTCCATGCTGAACAAATTTATTTGAAAAATCCTTTAGAAAGAAGAAGTTGATTGCCTTTTTTCCCAAGACTCCTTGCTACATGTAAAAATGAAGTAGCAAGTATAAGTAAAATTTAATAAACTCACCAGTGTTCCTGAGTACAATGCAATAGCTAGTTGTTCACATTGAGTTCATTGGCTTCCAAACAAAAAACAAAATAGACTGATATACCCTGTAAAATTAACTTCAATTATATAAAGGAAGAATGATTTTAGGGGGTCACTTTCCTTCTATTGAAATGGTTTGGCTGTATAATAGATCATTGATTGATCTACTCTCTTTTTTCAATTTTCCACCACTTCTGTTTGTTATATATGCAGCTTCACATATTCCAAGTCTTCATTCCTGAAATTTCATGTATTTTTTACCTGTGTGTGTGATAGATCAAAAGTGCGCCTTCCTACCTGTCAATATAAGTCCCTATAAAATGTGTATACAAAACCATGACATGCCTGCTTCACAGGGACATTCACATTGCCACAGCATGGCCACAGCTCATCATTTTCCTTTGGAATTATCTGAATCTCATGTGGAGGCTGCCAAACAGGCATTTCATAACATTTGTTTGTTCTATATCCACTCTTGACTCCAGTGACTCCACACAATAATATTATGATATTTATGATGTGACCAGCCTTGAATAATACCACACCATATTATTATACAACCTCTCACACTCTTTCAAAGATATCTTCAGTCTTCTTGTCACCCTGTTTTCAACTAAAGTCTAAAATTCGCGATTCTTTCGAATTCAAATTCAAAATTTTTTTCAATTCATTTGACAGTGACACAAACGAAATCAACAATCACGTGGTGGGGAAACACTGACGTCACGCCCCTCCGCGCACCCCCGCACCATAATGCTATACTATGAGGTAACCTTATTGGCGCAGTTGTCATGTCAACAAATAAAATATAAATATTGTTGTCCTTAATTTTATTATATTAATCCTTATTATACTCTAGCTGGTTTTTCATATTACATATTGTTTTTATTGATATTTTTTGCTGGTGAGTATGGATTTTTTTTTATTTCCATGCCTGCAACTTGCCAAACGAGAAGAAACAAATAAAACATTTTTTCTGATAATGTTCTTGACAGAATTTTAGATTTTTTTTTTCAATTATCCAACCTTTTCCAGGAAGTGATTTGGTGACTTTTATGGCTTTATTAACTCGCCGATTTACTCTATTATTTATTTCCTACAGGCATCGTCAAACAGGAGTTTCATCGGGAATCTGATTTTTTTGTCTTATTTTGTTGTAGTATAAAGGTGAATATTGAGCGATTGAAATTTCCCGGGTACTGCGGATGTTTGACGTTCCCCCTCTGCCAATATTCAATAACCCATTGCCCTTGCGCTCAGACGCAAGTCGCGCCATTTGCTAAATCATTAGCTCGTCATGGAAATGGTAAGTTTTTGCCGTAAAATCGTAGAATTTTCAGTATTTTTGACCTATATTTCATTTGATCCCATCGTTTTTTGTATTGAATTGTTGTGGTAACTTATAATGACACCCCTTCAAAGGAGAATCCCCTATTTCAGTGCAGTGGCGCAATACAATCAAGAAAAATGATGGGGTTTTGCTAGAAAAAATATCGATATTTTGGTGGTTATGAAAAATGTGTGCTATAAATGTTTCAGAGAAACTTTTCGCGTGAATAGAATTTCGTGACAAAGAGGCCTAGTAATCACAAACAAGAATTATTTATTCGTATTGTAACTACACAATACTCGCAACTATGGGTACAAATATTAAAGAAGACTTTCCAGAATCAAAAGATTACATCCTGAAAACTGAAGAGTTTGATGATCTAACGGAGAGTATGTTCGATGGGAACGAGAAAAAACCTCTGGAAGATGCTCTATTGGCTGATCCAGATAACTGTGGCATGTGTGGGTGAGTGCAGTTATTGACATTTCATGAAATTTCTGCTAATTCTGCTCAATTTTATAATTTTCAGAGGTCAATTGGTGGTTCCTCGCATGCTGCACTGTTTACATGTGTTCTGTGAGGAATGCTTGGATAAAAAACTTGTTGGTGAAGCTGGAGATGCAGGATCTGCTGATACTTTTATTGATTGTCCAACTTGCAGTCATATTACAATGGTATTACATTCTCATTCCATTCATCTTTATCTTCAGAAATTAATATAGCACAGTATCTGAAATCAATTGAGAAATGGATTAATTGAAAAATGAAGAACATTGCTGATTTTACTAGCACATTAGGATGTCAATTGACTAGCACAGTCCTTTTTAGAAAAGTTGAAATCAGTGGTTGCTTGATTTCAATTTAAATTTATGTCTTCTACTCTACTTCAAGTTAGTTGACTTTTAGTCAGTTTTTTTCAGAATTTTTAATTTTTAATAACTTTTTGTATATCAAAAAAGTTCAAGTGGATTATTTATATTTACATCATGCAGGTATTTATTGCATTTTGCTGTTGTAGTCATGTAGATATGAATGTTTTATTAGTATGGTAGCTAAATGTTAGGATTCTTACAGGTAGGTACCAAAAAACTGGCGGTTCTTCCTTTGGATGTGACAAAAACCAACATCTCTGATGTCTCTAATTCCTCCAATTTGCACTGCACCTCATGCACAGCCAAAGAGTTGGCCAAATCTAGATGCAACACGTGCCACAACTTGCTGTGCAACAACTGTGACACAGCTCACCATTTCATGCGTTGTTTTGAGGCTCATAAAGTGGTTGCTCTTGAAGATATGAGAAAAGATGGCACTAGGATTACAGTACATAAGCCATTGGAGTGTGATGTTCACAAAGGCGAGAATATTATTTATTACTGCACTGGGTGTAATGCTACTGCTTGCTCTGAATGCACTAAAAGTGAACACAAAGGTCACCAGTGTGAGGGAATTCTAGATTCAGAGATGAGGGTACACCAGGAGATTGAGGGGTTGCTGGAGAAGAGCAGGGAGAAAATTGACCAACTCATGAAAGTGACTGTCAGATTAGACAATAACATGGAAGAGCTGGCACACCAGCGTAGTACAGCTAGGGATCTCATCAATGAATCATATCAAGTAAGTTAATATTTCAAGCAGGATAAAAAAACATGATAGTTTTGTCTATGTCCTCTGAAATACATATACCTAATAGTTAGTAGTAGTCATAATCATTTTTCCTTATAAACTATATTACAAAGAATAGTAAGATATGTAAGAAGGAAGGAAAGCTCAAAGTCCTCTCCACAACTTTTTATAGATATGTAAGATATTAAGGAGACTCACAATGTTCATGAGTTTCACAAGAATGTACCTATCTACATTGATTGGTCTCAGAAATGAGACAAAGTAAAACAATATCTAGTAATAGTCCTATTTTGTAGTATACTTAATCAATTTCACATACACAGCAGAAAATTGAAAAGTGAGCTAGGAGAGTTACTGTTACCTTAAAAAAAAATGATTAATTCTGATATTTTGTACTTTTTTATGTTATAGGTGCTATAGAACCTGAAATTTGAGTTATTTCCTTTAAACATGCAAAATATATCAACATTTTCATCTCTAATCCTGTATCCCAAACACCCTGTATATCAGTATAAAATATACTGTACAATTGAAAAAAAATATGTAGGTACTAATAATAATATTCCAATTATTTATTTATTGAACATTCAGTGTTTGAATTGTTTTGCAGAGTAAAAACAGTTTTTAGTAGGTATTTTTTCTGTTGCCTTTTTGAGATTTATTGAAGGTTGCTGTTTTGGCTAGTCAAAAGAAATAAGTGATTTCCAAAATGATCAAATCAGAAATTTCATTTTTCACTGTTACACATTTTGTAATGAAAATATAGTGATTTTTGGATCTGGTTCCAAATCAAACAGTGGATATACAGGACACTACAATGTTTTACCACTAATCAAATCAATTTTTTAACCCGGCTTAGCCCAGGGGGGCTTCAGATGGCCAGATGAATTTTAAATCACTGGCATTCCAATTTGAATGCACGCACGTTTCTTTGGTTGCCTATAGCTTCCCAAAACACTTCATTCTGTGATATTCTGGTGTGAATTCAATCTTTAGTTAGCTATCAAGAGAGTAACAGTGCAGTAAACAGCTTTGGGGTCTGAGAAGCCCCACCTGTGTAACAAAGATATACATCTCATTCTAAGAGATACATGTAAATTCCCATAAGAAAATGGATAATTTTTTGTTTTTTTCATATACTCCATGCTCCTTTTCTAGCTGATGACTTGAACATTTTAATGATTGGTTATGCATGAAATCTTACAAAATTGAGTGTTGTATATTTTTTAAAAAGTTCTCAAAGATAACATGTATTTTTTTATGAGAATTTCACCATTTATATGTCTCATGAATTGGAAATTATAAAAAGTTTCTGTTCATAATCATGAAGTAAATACATCTATAACTCATTTCACATACAAATCTGGAAATATTCCTAATGTTTTTTTTCTCGTGTTTCTAATTATGGGGTACATCAGACCCCACCTGGGTGATAATGTACCGATTTTCCACCTGGGTGACGCCGGGTTATACGCATCCACACGTTTTGCTATGTTACTATCTTCTGTAGAAGATTAAAACTGCTATAGATATGCAGGGTGTAATTTGAGTATGTTGCAAAACTTCAAGAGATGATTTTCGGAGTGATTCCAAGTCGAAAAGTTCATGTAAACATGGGTCCGGAAATACACAAGATACAGGGTATCAAAGATTTGGGCAAAAAACGCTTTTCCGTGAGTATCGCAGAAATCTCTGATCCAATTTTGTTGAAATATTGCAGTGGTATTTGTAGTAGTAAGGTAATAAAGCCATTACCAGATTTACGGAAAACCTATTTTATAAAAGTTTGACACTGTGTATTTTGAAAATTATGCATTTTTGGAGCTATGGTCACATGAATTTCTTGTCTCATGGTAAGGTTAGGTTAGGTTTCATATGAGTGGGGCGATTGTGGCTCACCCCTAGAGACTACTAAATAATACTCGAAACCTTCTCCATGATGAAGATGATTTCATGATTTCGAGTATTATTTAGTAGTTACTACTTTACTCCACTTTGAGAAACCATGAACAGTCCTGTGAACACAGATTCGGTTCCCTGTTTGGCGAGGATGTCGGCTTTCTCTCCACCCCTTGATGTCCAGGTACCCACAGCAAAGTAACTCTGTTGTTAGCACCTAGGCATTCTATTCGTCAACTCTAGCACACAATTCAATTGCGAAGACCTCACCGAGATTTATTGAGATTTCCGTCTTCGGTTTTCTGCTGAACACACCGGCTCCTACTCCAAGCGGGGTTTTCGAACCATCTGTGTACATTACGTGTTCGGTCTCTGGGAATTGGATTGATCCTCTTACCAAATCGTCTCTCTTCGGAAAAAGGACTTTGAAATACTTTTTTACGTGTGCCTGCTCTCTCCATATACCATAAATCATCTGCATAGCATTGGAAATCCACCCCCTGCATGAAAAGATCGTTCAGTAGAGAGTCAACTAGAAATGACCACATAAGGGGGGAAAGTGCCTTGTGGACAACCTTTTGTCGCTCTATTGACTCCATGCAGTGATGATATGACCTACCGATTTCCAATCATGGTTTTGATCCAGTTGCATAATTGACTGCTAATTCCTCACCGCTCATTCCACTGACTGGGGTGACCACCTTTGAGGCAATCTTCCAGTCCTCCTTTTTTGGTCGTTTTTGTTTACTAGAGGTCTATTCGTCAACTCTCTAGCACACAATTCAATTGCGAAGACCTCCGCCTGAAAGATTGTAGCATACTTACCGAGATTTATTGAGATTTCCGTCTTCGGTTTTCTGCTGAACACACCGGCTCCTACTCCAAGCGGGGTTTTCGAACCATTTGTGTACATTACGTGTTCGGTCTCTGGGAATTGGATCGATCCTCTTACCCACTCGCCTCTCTTCGGAAAAAGGACTTTGAAATACCTTTTTACGTATGTCTGGGTATCCAACATGTCAGGAATCGTTCCTAAAGTTTGGTGTTTTTATATTTCACACATTATCCCGGAGTGGTGCAGCAGTACTATTCTGACTTCCCTCTCCAAGACAATGCGGAGGGTAGTGAGGTTAGGAGTTTTTCCATCGCTGCAGTTGGAGTGGAGGACATGGCCCTTGTACTTGCTAGGCCCTGACTGTCTCCTGCCGATTTGGTCCACCAGACTACCAAGCCATACGTCAACATTGGTTTTATCATTGTTTGGTAAATTCAGTAAATCTGTTTGGGGTTCGTTCCCCATGAATTGCCGCATACCTTCTGTGATTTCATAAGAAAAGTCTGGCTTTGTTGATGTGGGCGTTCCAGGTGAGTCTTTTATCTAGGGTGCCACCGAGATATTTCATCTCCACCGCAACCGGAATGCTCTCTCCATATAGGATAGGCTGACGAAGCTTTTCTAGCTTTCGCCTGTTGGTGAAAGGGATAATTACAGTTTTCCGGGGGTTCACAGACATCTGCTCCCTCTTGCACCATCTGTACACAGTGTTGAGGCCGTTTGAGATCGTCGCATCAAAATTTCCTCTTATTATCACTAAATCATCTGCATAGCATTGGAAATCCACCTCCTGTATGAAAAGATCGTTCAGCAAAGAGTCAACTAGAAATGACCACATAAGGGGGGAAAGTACCCCGCTCTGTGGACAACCTTTTGTCGCTCTATTGACTCTCCATGCAGTGATGATATGACCTACCGATTTCCAATCATGGTTTTGATCCAGTTGCATAATTGACTGCTAATTCCTCACCGCTCATTCCATTCCACTGACTGGGGTGACCACCTTTGAGGCATTCTTCCAGTCCATCTTTTTTGGTCGTATTATCGATCCCATTGAAGCGGAATGCCGGTCGTTTTATCGACCCGATCTCTTGGATCGGATCTGTGGCGAGATATACTAATATACTTTGACAGAACCTCCGCCAAGAATCTCTTTTACCATTCCTCATTTCTTTGTTATTAGCCGTTTGAGATGTGCGGTAAGTGTCCCAACGCCTTGTCTTTATCTCGATTGAAGACGTCGAACTTCTTGTCGTTTTTTGTCCAGGCTATTGCTCCACCAAGGTGTACCTCAATGGTCTTTCTTCTCCTTTGATGGGCAGTTTTCCTAATAGGCCGTTAGAGTCGCGGTGGCTACACTCTCATTCGCCACTTCGATTTTGGCTCTATTTCTACAGATTAAAAACATTAGAAAATGATCCGTATGGTACAAATGCAATGAAACAGGTCATTTATTAAGTGAACATTCAGTGTATGAGTTGATTTGTTAGGAATTCCTCCATGGAGTAGAAGCAGTTTTCTAATAGGAATTTTTTTGTTGCGTGTTTGAATTGTGCGTAGCTATACAGATTTTTTGAAGGTTGATGTTTTATGTTTTGGTATATTCAAAATGAGGTTTCTTGATGGGTAGCAATGGCTGCTTCCCAAAACGTTGAAATCGGAAATGTTGGCTTTCACATTTTAAGATGGAAATTGAATAGTTGTTAGAATAGAGTGCTCTTTATATATTGATCTACATGAATCACGGAATTCCAGGTCAAATAGTATTCTGACAATTCATTTCTGTGAAGTGAAGATCTTCATGTGCGTCGTTGATAGACCCCATGTTGCGATGTTATTTGATATATGGCTGTATGCAAATGCATAGTATAAGTTCAACAGTCCTTTTATGTCCAAAATTGGTTTCATATGAAGGATTGCATAGTATGCTTTATTCAGTTGCTTGCAAACATAGTCGATAAGAGAGGAGAAACAGATCTGAGTCGTGCCATGTACCAAAGAGCTGGACACTTTCACTGAATTTTATATCACTACCGAAATCTATCGGAACTTTTTTGATCATGTGAAAATTGATTTATACTGTCTTGTCAGTGTTCAGAATGGTACTGAATCCGCGATCTAGCAAATTTGCGTGCTCGGCTTCGCAGTCGCTCCGCATCGCAAACGCAAATTTCGCCGATCGTACAAAGTGTCATATTAGATCCTAATGAAACAATGTACTAATTTTCTAGTGTTTTCTACTAGCTCAATAAAACGGTAACGATTAGGTCCCAATCCAGGAAAAAATTCAAGTAGTCGGTTTCTCTGTGGTATTATATGTTATTGGAGGTGCTGGATTCGAATCTGAATTTTGCAAAGAAAATTTCCTGGAGCGTTCCGAGATATTAGCAAAAAACAGCGAAATTTTCGCACTTTTTGTTTTTTTCCCTATCAAAAGTCGAAGTAGATGAAAATTGATCAAAGGGTACTTTTCAAAAAATACCGTTTCTCGTCGGTTTTCGCAGATAATTCATATTTTACGTATTACTCAGAGACAGAGCATCATTCACATATTGGAAGAGCATCAAATTTCCTATCGAGCTCATATTCTGTACGCTGGAATTATAGTTGTTATAATTGCGATACAATAATTCCAAATCTTATAGGGTATTCTTTGAACATTTTGATGAAAAACTGATAAACTATTCAAACTATCGAAATTACCTATTTTGTGATGAATAAGTATTAGAATCTATTCTCGCTCATGTGGGTTCCAAGGCGTCAAGGGAATGAGGCAGCTGATCGCCTAGCAAAAAAGTGCAGAGCTCACATTTTACCTTTCTGTGAGACAAGCAAATGCCACCTTATCACAGAGCTCAGAAAATGAGAATGAAGTGAAAAATCCTACTGCTGTTGAGCAACTCCAGGTAAACGAGAAGGAAAGAGTTCTTCAACAATTCGTAAGCCAGGAGTCTCAGCAAACAAGAGCTAAAGCACTACCCTCTGAGCTATCACTAAAATAAAAATGGGTCTAGAGAGGACTGACACCAGACCGTGGAGCACCTTTGTTCATGTAATGTACCAGTCTAGATAACGCCTGTTGAGGCGAAAAATTCAACCGTCAAGAAAATATTAGGCGTCATTAGAAGTCTAGGGTTATAGAAAGCAATTAATCAGATGAGGGTGATCCTATAATCTAAAATCTAATCGTCACTACATCGTCGTTTGGCAGGGGGCTGGTACGTTACCACCGATACAACTGAAGGACCCGGTTCTGGGGATGGTGGTGCAGGTGGAGCAAATCGTGTTCTCTCCAGGGTACCCCCATCCTCTATACGATGGTCTGGAAGAGAAATTGATATATGCAAGGTAACTAGCCAAATGGTGGGTTCAAGTATAACCATATGAAAGTTTGATTGTCGTAGATGTTAATAGTAGATAAAGCTGATACCTCTAGGTGAAGGAAACTCTTCTAACTATATTTTATGCAAACGTCTGTTAACGAATAACAAGAGGCAGGTAAGAAAAACAATAGTCTTCCTAGTTGATGTGAATATACGTAAGTACAGTGTCATGAGTTACATGCTGACAGAGGTAAGAATTCACATGGCTAGGACTCTTCCACATCAGGCAGTATAGTTCGTTTCTTCGAGGAATGCGTAGATTTGGAATTATCTGCGAAAACCGACCTTGCTGTTTTTTGCGAATATCTCGGAACACTCCAGGAATTTTTTTTTGCAAAATTCAGATTCGAATTCAGCACCTCCAAGAACATATGAGACCACAGAGAAACCGACTACATGATTTTTTTACAAGTGAAAATACCATTTGATTGGACTATACGGCTATAACACAAAATTGCTCTTGTTTTTCTGTGTTCGATACGTCAATGAGGTACTTTGTTTGTCATCAATATTATTTCCGTAACTGATCACATTGACTCTATTGTGATATTATTTCAAGAAAATCTCATCGCTCATGGAATGTCAATGTGAATTTTTCAAGTAATAACAGCTCTGTCTAATAGATGAGCATTACTTGAAAGGAAATCAGATGGCTACAAGACGAAGAAATCGAAAATGCCGCTGTTATCTATTATAGCCGTAGAAAAATTATAGTGTATAACTTGCATGGAATGCTAATTTCCTACTCGAATCTCGTAGGAAATCACTCATTCCGTGCTCGTTAAACAATATACTATTTCCGAGCAGAATGCCAAGAAAGTCATTTGATGACTGTTTTCGAAAAAGTTAATTTTTGAGACGGCTGCAGAAAAAGTATAATAAAGTGAAAAAACTTCTTTTGATCAGAGCTACAAGGCTGTCCTGGAGAAATGCAGAGACGAGGCTCTCGAAGATCTGAACAAGCTGTACCACGAGCGCGAACTGAAGATCATGAAGGAGTCCGACGAGCTGGGCAAGACCATCGACAACATGGAGGACGCTTGCAGGTACACGGCCAGGTTGCTGGAGAACGGCACGGTTCCCGAGAAGATGTACCTGCGCAAAGTTGTGGCTTCCAGATTGACGGCTCTCAACGGCAAGTCTCCCAAGGTAGGTTTGGGTTTTTGCAAAGAATACATTCAAATTTATTCATCTATCCACTGAATAGAAAGTAGGCGTTTGCTCCCTCATTTGAGGAAACAAAGTTGTCAATTTACTCCCACGGGAGGAACAAAATATTAACTCCCGTGGGAGGTGAATTAAATTAACTTCAGCATGCATCCTTTGGTGTCGATATACCTATTAAATATGTGCAATCTAAGTTAAAAGAGTCTTTAACTCTTTCATAAAACAAGTTACAATCAAATCTTTTTTGAATTTCCTTTCATTTTTGTTATATTCTCGTCCTTTCTCAACGGGTTTCATCCTACTTTTATATTTTTTGGTTAAAAAAATTATCGACCCTGGTTTACTTTCCCCAAGGTGGAAAAATGCCTAAGCATCGAATTCAAATCGGACTTCGCCAGCTTCGAGCACTGCGCCCGCGACCAATTCGGCCGATTCTCCACCGAACGCGACCCCGCGAAGCCCTCGGGCCCCCCCGTCTTGCCGCCGCTCGTCATCAACGGCACGTCGCCATCGGGCGCGCCCACCCCCATCGTGGGCAACGGGGGTGGGGGAGGAGGCGCCGCCTCCGTCACGAACAGCAGCCCCATCTCGATGGCAGCGTCGATGCAGTCGTCGTTCGACGGGGAGTTGGGCGGCAATTTGCAGGGGTTCGCCTTGGCGCAGACGCCGCCTTTGCCGCACGTCAATGCCGCCGCCATGCAAGGTAAGATTGACGTGATATGTTTATAATGAGCCTGTTTCGGTTAAATAGTATATTACATAACTAGTATGTAAAGTGACATATTTTGCGCGAACGTACCGAGCTGCAGTGCGGCGAGTGCGGAAAACGAAACGAGCGCAGGTAATGCACTTTCCAACGAGTTTTGTACACTTTTTTCCTACAACCACAAATATTTAAGTTATCGTTCATCTGGAAGAAGAGAGTTACAACTCAAAATTTCATATTTCTGAGTTTTTCTTCAAAATGGGTTATAAATCTTGCATATTTTTATGGAAAATAATGTTACATGTGAGCTTCATTCAGCGGCCGAGAGACGGCGACATGTATCTCTTTGGAAGAATCAAATTTTAGGACATATCAATTGGGAAGACCGTGCCATCTAAGTTTGCAACATTAAATTTGCGAAGATGAGTACTATATACGAACCATCCTTCTCTTCAATGAAGCTATAACTTGAAATGTAACACTATTCCTCCAAAAACTATATATACAGGGTGTTACATAATTCAATACAAATATTTAAATGACATATTCCTGGGGTCAAAATAAGACTTTTTTTTCCTATAAACATGTGTCCTAAAATCCACCCCCTCCAAGCTACAGACATCGCAAGATGCGCAAAAAAAATCTTAAATTTTGAATTGTGGCTACAATTATGCATCAAATATTTCGAAAATTCACAGGCACTTGTATTTTTAGACGATCCCTTCATTTCTTGATTCAAAAATAAGGTAACTCAAATCGAATGGGGTGAATGAGGGTTGCATACAGCTTGGAGGGGGCGGATTTTAGGACACATGTTTATAGGAAAAAAAAGTCTTATTTTGACCCCAGGAATATGTCATTAAAATATTTGTATTGAATTATGTAACACCCTGTATATCATGTCACACATGATTTAATTCAATTAGAAAGAATTATTTTTAGTTGTATCTATTTTCCACATATTCTCCCACTCCAATATTATTTTAGGTTAAATTTTTCAGTGATGTAACTGTTTTTCCGATCAATATAATGAGAGTTAATGTGTTGTACCTCAAGATGTAACTGTATTCGCTGGAAAATAATATTACTTATATCAAATGTTTCCAGATTTGTTTGATTTTAATTTGTGATGAAAAATAATACTGATGATTTACCAACAAAGTTGAAGAATTAAAAATGAAGGCAATTGCTTCTGCGCCACTATTGAGTGGAAAATAAGTAAGTTCAAGAAAGCTGGTTCAATTTTTTCTCCAGATCAGTATGCAAGCATCATAAGAACCGCTAAAAAACTGGTACCCCAGGACTTCAACGACATCAAAAGAATGGCAGCTGATTCATATGTGAACATACCAAAATATTGTTCTATATCAGAGTTCTCAAATTGGACGATAAAGGTGACTATCGAAAAAGTTTCGATAATATATCACCTTTCATGACGAATTTCAAATTTGGAAGAGATATTGGAAATAAATTGAATATAATTTTCTCCTTGAGAAACACTGTATATACCTAACCCATCAGGCACCTACTCTGGTTGGAAATATTCGAAATGAATCGAAAATAATTCATAACAGGAACAAAACAACATATCACAGATCGCTGGTTTCTGGTCTGTTTTCCGTAATTTAATAACACGTCGTTTCTTCGATCTGAAACATAGTTGGTATTATATTTCGAATTTAAAATATATTGAGAATTGAGATCATGACAGTTACATGGAATAAGAAACTGAAATATATATGAAAACTTTTTCATATTCCGTTGCTGAAATGCGACATATTCCTCATTACTCAAAAAATGAGCAGATAGCCAACAATTTTCTCCTGAATGAGGAACACTGTATATACCTCACCCACCAGGCGCCTACCCCGGTTGCAACGAGGGTTTACCGATGCCAAGGGTTGATACTCTCCCCTCGTAAGGGTACCTTTCGTGTCTCCATTGAGACATAAAGGTGACTATCAAAAAATGTTCTATAATATCTCGCCTTCCATAACAAATATAAAATTTGGAAGAAATATTTGAAATGAATTGAACATGATTCGTAAATAGGAATGACAAACTTATCACCGGTCGCTGGTTTCTGGTCTGAATTCCTTTTCTGTAAATTTTTTCGGTCGATTAATAACACGTCGCTTATTCGATCTGAAACATAGTTGGTATTATATCTCGAATTGAAAATATAATGAGAATTGAAATCATGACAGTTACATGGAATAAGAAACTGAAATATATGTGGAAACTATTCCATATTCCGTTGCTGAAACACGACATATTCCTCATTACTCAAGAAATGAACAGATAGCCATCAATTTTCTCCTAAATGAGAAACACTGTATATACCTAACCAACCAGGCGCCAACCCCGGTTGCAATTAGAGTCACTGGATGGTATTAGTTTGATAAGAGTTCGGACACAGCTGAACTTTTGTCCTTTTCTATTTTCTATAATACAATGGTTTAAGTGAATAAAAGAATAAGACATACAGTGTGGTCCAACGAAAACTTAACACCTCGATTTTCCGGCGTTAACATGAAAATGTGGAAAATCGCTCGAACCCGTCAATTTCTGATTCGAGGGGGAACAACTTTTCCGCTGTTTTCATCCCCGTGACTTCAACCCCCTAACGGGGGTGAGCACAACCCCTTGATTTTGAATAGGGATGAGGGGTGTTGAGACACCTCATTTTGAAGATCTTATCGTGTACTATCTGACCGTAAAATTTCGCTCCAAAATATCCATCGATAACGAAATGACAGGTAAAATAGTGGAAGAGTACGTACTTTTGTGATTACTTTATTAAATGTTCGAAATGGGCACCATCCACTTCCATGCAGTAATATAAGTTTTGCTGAAAACGTTCACGTACATTACTCAAGATTTCTGGTGTAATTTGACGGCATTCATTAATGATCCGAGTTCGCAAATCATCCAGTGACTCAGGCTGGGTAGCGTAAATCTTGGATTTCAGGTGACCCCATAGAAAAAAGTCCAGTGGAGCCAGATCAGGTGATCTGGGTGGCCACTCAATATGTCCCCTTCTTCCAATCCAGGCGTGAGGAAAATTGTCATCTAAAAACTGACGCACCGGTTGAACAAAGTGAGGTGGTGCGCCATCTTGTTGGAAAATGATCGTTTGATGGTCTTCTGCATTCTCCAATACTTGCACGAGGGCTGGATAAATAGCGTTCTCCAATAGATCAAGATAAATTTGGCCTGTGAGATTACCGGGTAGAAAAAAAGGGCCGATTATGTGATTTCCATAAATACCCGCCCAAACATTTAATTTTTGGGGGCGCTGTGTATACACCTCACGAAATAATCGTGGATTTTCATCTGACCAATACCGACAGTTATGCCGGTTTAAAATGCCGTTAAGGTAAAATGAACACTCGTCCGAAAAACAGATATCGAACATGTAGTTTTGATTGCCGTTAATTATTTCACTGATCACTTCACAGAACTGGAGTCGGCGATCGGGATCATCCTCATTCAGTTCCTGAACCAATCGTATCTTATACGGATGGAATTTATGTTGTTTCAGGATTCTCATGATTGTTGTGCGTGAAACACCAGATACATCGGACAATTTCCTAGTACTAACGGTCGGATCCATTGCTATATGACCTAAGACAGCCACGTCCCTCGCTTCGTCTCTTTCATGCACCCTCTTTTTGTTTCCAACTGAACCAGTAGCGTCAAATTTGGCAACCAGTTGCACAACGTAAGCAGCGGATACATTTTTTCCAGGATGTCGTTCGTTAAATAAAGCCGCTGTTGTGCGCGCAGAGTCGTTATTTCGGAAAAATAATTTTATCATTTCCACCCTTCTACGGAATACACCATTTTAATTCCACTACAAATTTACAATCGCTTGGACACACTTGTACCGTTCTTAACAATTCACGATAGACTAAGGTACAAAAACAAGGTCCGTCTACTTTTTTGGACAAAAAATTAACCACTCAATACCTTTGAAATGCGTCGGATACGAATAATATTCTCGAGATAAATTCCATATTGCCTCTTTCACTATTTTCGCTGTTATTTCATTATCGATGGATATTTTGAAGTGAAATTTTACGGTCAGATAGTACACGATAAGATCTTCAAAATGAGGTATCTCAACACCCCTCATCCCTATTCAAAATCAAGGGGTTGTGCTCACCCCCGTTAGGGGGTTGAAGTTACGGGGATGAAAACAGCGGAAAAGTTGTTCCCCCTCGTATTAGAAATTGACGGGTCCGAGCGATTTTCCACATTTTCATTTTAAAGCCGGAAAATAGAGGTGTTAAGTTTTCGTTGGACCACACTGTATATTCTGCTCTTTGTCTTTTCAATTTCCGTAGTAGCGCCTGATTGTCAGATACGATTTTAGAGGTTATATTTTCTGTCAAATCAATCATAGCCGTAGATGGGCAATGGATATAGGGTACGAACACCAACTTCAATTTATAGTGATACACTTCTAGCAGATCAACTGTAATATAAATGAAAAGAATGCATGTAACAACATTTTAATATTAGAGAATACACACATATGAATGAACTTATAGCTATAATTCCTTATTGTATGTGGAACTGTACTCCAGTGATAAGTATAAAACATGAAGTTATTAATATTAAATTGAAGGTAAGTATTCTCAATATACAGGAAGTAACATAAGTACGTTCAAGTGAAGAATTCCTGATACAATTTTAAGAAATAAATATAAGCTTGTGTCCGGAAATGCTTCATTTCGGAGATACAGGGTGTTGAAATACAGAGAACAAACCATTTTTTGATAAACATTTCATAGGAGAAAAGGAGTTTGAGTTGAAGTTCTCAGCAACTTCACTTTAGTGTCCTAAGAGCTAAGTAACATGAATCGATATAGAACATATCTCCAAAACGATAACCTCCGCGTAATTAAGGCCCTTATAATAATTCCCTTGATACATAAATAACTATTCACTTTTCACTGTTAAATTTTGAATTTGGTCGGCACCAAAAACGC